TCAGAACTAGATCGAGGGTATGGTTAAAACAGTGAGTGGGTTCATGTACACCCTGACTGAAGCCAATGGAGTCTATTAATGAGATAAACGCGGTAGCCAGGGAGTCATTATCAACGTCGACATGAATGTTAAAATCGCCTACAATAATAACTTTATCTGATTTAAGAACTAAACTGGATAAAAACTCTGAGAATTCAGATACAAATTCAGAATACGGGCCAGGAGCACGGTACACTATAACAAATAAAAGTGGCTGCGAGGTTTTCCAGGTCGGATGTAAAAGACTAAGAACGAGGCTTTCAAATGAATTAAAATCTAGTTTAGGTTTAGGGCTGATTAACAGACTAGAGTTAAAAATGGCTGCAACTCCCCCTCCTCGGCCGCTGCCTCGAGGAATGTGGGTATTATTATGACTGGGAGGAGTGGACTCATTTAGACTAACATATTCATCTGGACACAGCCAGGTTTCTGTGAGACTGAGTAAATCAATATGATTATCTGATATTAGGTTGTTATGCACAAGATGAGAAGATGAATCTATGTTTAATGTCTGCAAAGCAAAAAGTCTGAGGAAACACTGTAAGACTGAAGGAGTTCCTTTAGACATTCAAATGTCTTAATCCTATTTTCCAGTTTTAAAACCTTTTTTTTTTACACTTTTCAAACTTACTTTGAACCTTTCAAACCTGAGTTTTGATGTTATCATTTCCCAAGGCTTTTATTTTGAAAGTTAAGACGTGTTACACATCTAATTTTTGCTGGCTTGACACTCATGAATCAGTTCAGTTTCATTTTCTGAATAGGGACACAGACTGTGTCATTTCTTAACTGGACCAAATGGATCCCTCACTGGCTTTACTGGTTGTGGGTCACTTCTTCCTCACAGCCCATGCAGGTAAAGTTTCATCCAACCAAACCTTGATCCTTCCTTATCTTTGTGTAACATGGCTTTAAACCACTACTTCCAGTGTGCTATCCTGCAGGCAGAAGAACAACAAAGTTAACTTTATTTAACGTTACTATTTTCACACAGTATTTATAAGATTCAGAATGACACAGTATGAGATACTGAATATATCACCAGCCTTAAATCAAAACGAGATAGATGAGTGTCAAATGCCAGCCTCCATTTTGCCTTTCCTGACACAAACCAAATGACTAACCTTCTCAGGTAACTAGTTTGACAGTCACACCTTCAGCTCAAATTTCACTTCTGTTGACCTGGGTCCAACAGTCAAAACGAAGACAGAGTCAAACACTTCCTGCATCACTCGGTTTCAGTGTGAATGTGCCTGACTGTATAGACATGGGCGGATTACAAGACACTGGGCCCCTGGGCACAGACATGCAAAAGGCCCCACCACTTATGCTCCAATGTAGCAAGACACACAGATTTCAAGGTTTTTTTTAGCTTCTTTATGTTGTTTTGAGTCTGTTTGTGGTCATTTTCCATCTCTTAGAAGTCATTTTCAGTCTGGAGTTAGTTACTTTTCATTTTCTTCAAGTTATTGTGAGTCTCTTTGGCCTCTAGTTTCGCAGACCAGGCGTGGCGGAAGCGCAGCACACCTGCGCTTCGCCAGCTGGGTGTGGCCAGGCGGATTTTGCAAGTTTGGTACACCGTGCGTCTGGCGCAGCTACTCCTCTTTCCCACCTCTGTCCCTCCTACCTGCGCAAGTCGGAAAGAGGGAGGAGAGAAGGCGTGGAGTGGGTTTTACACACATCACACCAATCAAATGAGCCCCTCTCCTCGCCCTTAAATGCACCGCGCGAAGGCGTAATGAGAATTTACCCAATTCGCCATGGCAGAAGAGAGCAGCAGTGTCAGACGGCCAAACTTCTCCCAGGAGGAAACTGATGTTTTCATCAGGTCCAAGCTCGCAGTGTCCGAATATACAGAACTGCGAGCAGACCTCCACGGGCTGATGATGCAAAGGTAGCCTGGGAGGAGGTCACCACAATTGTAAATCAATGTTGTGTTTCTCTCGTGCGTTCGCGCTCTCTCTTTCTCTCTCGCAGTCTCACTCTGTTTCTTTTCTTTTGACTTTTCTAAGATGACAGATGCTGAATATATACTCCCTATCTGATGCTGTGGCTGTTTGTGGTTGGCTGAGAGGGATGTGAACTCATTAGTTTGCAGCTGTGTTAATCAAATCAGGTTGGGTTTCCATTACGCGTGCCAAACGTGCCAAACGGTGCCAATCCCCTTTGATCTGACATCAGATGTGACGGGACAGTCGATACAGAGATACATTTATGTGCTGATTGCAGATAGTTGCATTGAATAGTGATTTTATGGATATTTATTGCATCGTTAATGTGCCTGATATTCTGGAAACCTGCCTGTGAGGTTTTGGTGACATGTGCACACTGTCCGCCGGTCAGCCAAACTTCCACTTACACCGGCTGCGCTCCGCCTGCGCTGACAGTAGACCTGGTTTCAGCTGGCTTTTAGCTTTTAGTGCACCTTCGGCGAAGCCTTTTGGCACAAAACTGTCACTGCGCCAAGCTGGATCTGTCGACACCTCCCCCTGCTGCGCCGCCACACCCATCTCAGCTAGGTCTGTGCGGGGTTCACCACCCTGCGCCACCCTGCGCTGCGCCGGGAAACTAGAGCCCCTTGTGTCACTTTGCAATTGCTTTGCATCTATTTGTGGTTATTTTGTGTCTTGTCCTGGTTGATACCAGGCGAAGGCCAAGGGGCCCCTGACACTTTGGGCCCCTGGGCCTGTGCCTGGTGGGCCCTTTTAGAAATCCATCCACGTGTATATGTATGTAATGTAAGTGTGGAGCAAAGATCTAAGTTGACTTTACTGACACTTTCTTTTTGTGTTTTCCTGCTGCAGCACTTTATGAAGGGACGATGTTCTATGGCTGCTCTGAGTCTGGTGACGGTCAGGTACAATTACACTGGAACGGAGACCAGATTGCATATGCTGACTTTGAGAACAGACGAGCAGTTTGGACAGCACCCCTGCTTGAGGAGCTGGAAAAAGATTTTTTACCTGGATTTTACCTATTGGCTCTGGTTAGCAAGGAGAGACTATGGAAATACTATATTGCTGAAGCTGCACAGATCGAGAAGAGTCCCATTGAAAAAAAAGGTAAAGACAGGACACTGTTCAGTTTCACCTGTGTGGGTCTGCTGGATAACACATTAAGAGTGATTTTAGGAGCAAACAGTTAAGGTGACTCCCTGAGTGGAACTTCCCACTGAGGAGCTCCTGAGAACTACACAATACCTCCAAGGCCTTTTTTTCTGTTTACATTCGCACCACCAATAGGAACGCTAACGTGATGCAGGACAGCCATCCAAGATTCCTATATTTCACTTTGACAAGTCAAAACTGCATTGTATTTCCGATGTTACATATCTTGGTAAAGCCTGGACTTCACTGTCGGTCCATTTGTTCATCTTTTCTCCCTGTTTTCATTGTTGTTGTTGTTGTTGTTTTTTTACGAGCTGTTGTTTCTGTTGTGTGTACAGAGCCTCTATGTCTACTCACTTGGGTTTGGTGTGAACACAGCATGAGAACTTTTATCATTCCTAGCTCCTCCAGTCTGAAAAAACCTTAAGATTGTAGGGATTGTTGCGATACTCGTAGTGATCATAGTTCCACAAGTTAAGAAACTCTTAACCTCAGATCAAAAATGTCACATTTATGGCTGATTTTCTCCTCTTGATAAATATGGCCCCTGAATGTGGGAACATACACGGTGAGTGCATTATGTCCATACAAACCATGTTCTTCTCTTTCTAAAAGCCCCGACAATGCTCGTCTATCCCAAGGAGGAGGCAGAGCAGGGGAAGGAGAGCATCTTCTACTGTTACATCAGTCACTTCTACCCCCCCTTCATCAATGTCACGTGGACCAGGAATGGTGTTCAGGTGACAGAAGGTGTGGCTCTCAGTAACCTGTACCCTGAAGGGGACGGGACCTTCAGTCAGCTGGCCAGCCTGTCTTTCAGTCCACACACAGATGACGTGCTGGGCTGCAGTGTGCAGCACGCAGCGCTGAGCCACCCTGCCACCAAAACATGGGGTAAGATTGAAATATACTGTACTGTTGAGGTCCAAAGTTTACATACAGGGACATGTAGCCTACCGTATATTTTGGTAGTATTGGGTTTCTTATTATGTATACAGATTTTTTAGAGATGGATTAAAAAATGCACTTTCCAGACATTCAGAAATTTGGCTTTTTTGACTAACTCAGTGTCCTGAAAATACAACTATACAGCTGTAATAACGTAACAGAACATACAGCACAGCTAGTACTTGGATGCATTTCCCTTCACCTCTGTCAAGTGCTTTTGGTAGCACCAACAACCAAAGTTCAAGGTGTGTTGTTTTCTTGCAAGAACTCGCATTTTCAGGGTAGTACACATATCTTTCAATCAGGAGAGACTCGTTTTTAATGGTAAAAGAATATTTATTAACATGTGAACGAATGAATAAGAATGTGGAAAGTCTTTGGCGATTAGACCCCGTAGAGATGGTTTGATTTAAGGAGGGTGGTGAATCCATAGTCGAATAGGGAACCTCCTCGGAGTCTAGACGCTGGTGGTGGTAGAGGTGGTGAAGATGAGATGAGAGGAAGATGGAGAAGTGCTGATGATCTGGATGAGTAGAGGAATGAGTCTTTGAGAGCTCGTCCTGGACTCTGGATACGATGGCTGGAGGTGACCGGGGTGGAGGAGGGTGCCAAGATTCTGCCTACAATAATGGCTGACAGCTGCAGAAGAGAGAGCAGATTTAAAATTTTGCAGTGGCATCTCGATTGGCTGAGAGATCGTGGTAAAGTGTGATTGGATAACTAGAGGAGTGAACACCCAGTCAGCTGATTAGAGGGAGTAGTGAGAGTGGGATGGAGAAAAATGTGAAAGGGTGAGCAAGAGAAAGGTCTTCCTGATTGAACTTACGCTGAGCTTCATTTATATTTCTGGCGTTACAGCGTTAATTGGAAAAATGTGTATGTATCCCTAATGACATCAACCACACATATTATTCCTGCAACATCTAATCTGTAGCATTTCATTTACTCACTGTCATCCAGAGTTTGCAGAATATTCCTCTGACGTCTTTGTGTCTCCACCATTTTCTCCTCTGATTCAGAAACTCTTAAACCCCTTCACAGTCCTCCTCCCTGCTCAAAATAGTTTTTCACCTTAGGAGCTCTTTTAAGGTGTTTAAGATGTTCTGTGAATAACTTTTGTCTTCACAAGGACCTAGTCTTAACTTTCAGGGAAAATTCTAAGAAAACGTCACAGTCTAAGAATTTTCTTAGAATTTCATCACTAGGAGCAACTCTTAGCTCTAGGAAGGTTTGTGAATACGGCCCCAGTGGTGTAGTGGAGGGTGTATGGGGTGTACCTTCCTCTTTTTCCGGCCGTTTACAGTTTACACACCTATCAGCTAAACAGCCAGTGGAATGTATAGCAGAGTATACCCACTTTCTCCTCAGTAATCTACCCATCTACTTCGTATTACAACCAAAGCATCAACTGCCACCACCCCACTGACTTAGACACACAGACCCTGTTCACATTTGGTTTTAACATGCGTCTCTGGTGATCAGATCACAAGTGGAAAGCTCTAAATACAAGTGTAAGTACCACCAAGACACATTGTGACCCGATCACTCAAACCACTACTGAGATGGTCCGGACACATTGCACCACATGGCTTTTGTCGTATAAACAGTAATGTGTCCTGATGCATCCCTGACAAGAATGTAACAGGGAAATATGTCATCATTGCAGGACATGATGGTTGTTTTGGTGGCAGTGCACCAACACTCTATAACTTGCACATTTTACAAAGGGTTTGAGTGACCATCCATCTTTCTGTGTTCAAATCACCAGCACACATTTAAAGACAGTGGTTTACATTCTAAATGTAGTGGTTTGTAAAACACAATGGAAAACAGAAATGCAGAACCTAGGACCTAAGTCTCTCACGTTCTTATGGGAAGCTGCAGGTTCCCGATGATTCGTTCCTGTAGTTGAGTTTCATTGTTGAGATTGTTCTGAACATTTCTGAGTCACAATGTTTGCTCTCCACCAGTGCTGCCTGAGAGGTCAGTGGGTTCTACAGCAGCGTGGGTCTGTTTGTCTTTGGGACTCATCTGTCTCACTTCTGGTGTCATCCTCTTCATCCTTTCTACTAAAGACTCTCTCCAACATCGGCTGGCAGACTGCTGGCGGGCTGCGTACCACAGGGTTGCTGGGCAGACTGACACTGGCTAATGCACTGTATTTTGGTATTGTTTTGAGACAGCTCAGGTTTGACCTGGAAATTGTATGATGTGCTTATGAATGATTGTTTTATGTTAATAATCTCATGTGTTAATAACAATAACTTCAACAGAGATCAGAGCTCAGCATCCAATTCTCCTAAAAAACAAATACCTGGTGATCAACATCACTTCCTGCTGTTCTGAAGATTTTTATAGGATCTGTCTGCCTTCACATGAAACTGATTATATGTGTTTACTAAGTTGTATTTTAATCCAAACAAAATGTTAGCCAGGAATGACATATATCTGCTCATTTGTACAATGTGAACCAAAATGTTAGATTTTACTATCATTGTATTATTGTATTAATGAATATTGATGTTTGTGTCCAGTCTTTTATATTTTCAGACAAAATAACATGTTAACATTTTGCTTGAGTTCTACAAAAAGAGAACAACATGTGTCATAGCTAGCTAGCAGGAAATACAGTCACAGTTTAACAAATATCATATCTATATTTTTTACAGACCTATTTATATCAGTGAGGGTGAACTGAGTAATAGAAACATCTGTTAGTAAAACACAACTAGGTTCAACAGCAGCACAAACTGAACACTATAACTGCATGAAGGAGGATTTATGACAGGACTGTAAGATTAGACTGATTAGTTCTATATCTAAGAGTCACGCAAGAAACCATGGTGTTATCCTGGACTCAGATTAAATTTCCACAGCCGCATCAAATCCGTAACGTCATCTGCCTGCTACCATTTAAAAAACATTACTAGAGTCAGAGGAATAATGTCAAAGTGAGACCTTGAAAGGCTGAGCAACAACTTCATCTTATTCAGAATGCTGCTCAGGTCCTGACAGAAACTACGAAATACAACCTCACTACTCCAGTTCTAAAATCCTTACACTGGCTACCTGTCACTCAGAGAATTGATTTCAAAATCAAATCACTCTGTGGCTCAGCGCCCAAATATATCTCTGACATGCCTGTGACATATGAACCTTCACGGACCCTGAGGACATCTGGGGCCGGCCTACTGACCGTCCCAAAAGTCAGAACAAAACATGATGAAGCAGTGTTTTGTTATCATGCAGCACAAACCTGGAGTGACCTCCCAGATGATGTCAGACAGCCCCGAATCTGAACACTAAGTCAAAGTTGAAAACATTCCTTCTTTACACTGCCTGCCCCACCCTGTAATGACTGCAAACTGATTTTTAAACTTGATTTTAAATCACTTTTGCTATTTTGAACAGTGATTTTTTCAAATAGTAAATCATTTAGTAATTAGTTTTACCTTTTATATCTTTTTTCTCTTTATTCTTTTATTGTAAATCTGTATCTTTATTATGTTTTTTATTTTATTGCTCTTTATATTGCTGACGTTCAAACAAGTGTCATACATGTTCTTAGTTTTGGCTTTGACAAGATAATTTCCACCCATTTCTTCAATAAAATGTCTTGGTTTGCACAGTCCAACAAGTCCGCCAACGTTAGATAAACTTTTACAAAAATCAAATTTTGACACAAAGAAGCAATATGACAAGAGGCTAGAGCTGTTTCATTTTTCCTTGCATGATAAATGTCATTTTAAGCCAAGTTAATCAGAGTCAGCACAACTGCATGTAAAACAGGAATATTAGTGGAGCATTTATTGTCATTACTCATGTAAACACCTTATATTGTTTTGTTTTGGAATAAGGGTAAACAATGGAATCATTTGGGCATGTAAATGTAGGTAGTGACAGTGAAGGAAAACGTGTGAAATATGGGAGAAGTAATTTTAGGCAATAAGATTTTTTCACAGTAATGTTAAACTCAGCACACCTCCGCTACAAACGGGAACACAGTATGAACGTAGCTTCAGCACTATGTTAACAGCACTCATTAAATAAACAAACTTGTAGCAGCAGTTGTATGGCCAGTTTGGGAAGTAAACCTCACCCTATCAACAGGTGACTCTTCTCAGTGCACTGATGTGATTGGTTAAACTCCCACTTCCTTATTTTTGTCAGGCTGATCATGGTTCAACAACGTCTGCATGCCCTGCTTTTGCTCTTTTCACTTCTGCAGCAAACAGGTAATAAATTATGTGATTCAAAAGTACAGATCGACTTGACTGAAGTGAGTGAAACAGTTGTTGTCAGTAATAATGTTATCATGCAGAGTTTAGTTCATCTTCGCGGCCCTGACAAGCTATTTTCTCACTGAGCTTCTTACAGCTGATCAGACCTCACCCACATAGTTCTGACCTGTACAGATTAGTCTTAATAAATCAGGATCTTAACTTTTAGTGTTACTTATGTATTCATGAATAGTTAATGCAATGAATTAAAGTAGACCTACAATGTTGGATATCCGTAGAAAACATGGCCAGAGTTTTGTGACAGATTTATATTTTTTTTTTTATATGGTCATCAGCTCCAGGCACGCTGCTGCAACTGTTTACATTATATTCCCTGCTACATGTAGCTAACATCAGGGAAACATTACATACATGTATATCACTGACAATATAAGTTATATGTATTTACATGCTAAATAAATGTAATTTTATTAATAAATCACATTCCAATGTGCTGTCTGATGCTCCCAGCCCTGGCAGGTATTGCAAAATGGTTCAGCCCATCTGACAGCGGGGTCAGATGCACAGAACATGCAGGCATTGCTAATGTAAACATGTGAGGGGGACCGCAGCCTTAAGAGCTTAGTCAGAGTGTCTCACCAAAAATCAGGGACCACTAAGGGAAAAATCAGAGTACATAGAGAACAAGAAAATAAAGGAGCAGAGAGGTGATGACCAAATGTCTGAAAAGGTGTAACAGGCAGAGCTGAGGGTGAGGAGTGAGGCAGAGTAATGTTAGCAAATAAAACCTGCTGTATCGCCTCAATTTTAAAGCTACAGACACAGGTTAAACTAGAGGACGTGAGGGATCCATTGGTATCAACCATGTTGGCTATCTTGTCAGAAAGGGGGCCAAATAATGCTCCAAACTTGAACTTAAGATTTGTGAAGTTAAAGGGAAAATTACCTTTTTTCAAAATGGTGTATTTAAATATTTCTGCATACTGGGGTCTCTGAACAGTCTCTGAATAGGGGAAACATACATTAAATATGCTGCTACATGCAGCTACATGCTAACATCAGGGAAACATTACATACGCTGCTGCATGTAGATGCTAACATCAGGGAAACATTACATACGCTGCTACATGTAGCTACATGCTAACATCAGGGAAACATACATTACATACGCTGCTACATGTAGTTACATGCTAACATCGGGGAAACATACACTACAGACGCTACTACATGTAGCTACATGCTAACATCAGGGAAACATACACTACATACGCTACTACATGTAGCTACATGCTAACATCAGGGAAACATACACTACATACGCTACTACACGTAGCTACATGCTAACATCGAGGAAACATACACTACATATGCTGCTACATGTAGCTACATGCTAACAGCAGCGAAACACACATTACATATGCTGCTACATGTAGCTACATGCTAATATCAAAGGAACATATCATCTTGCTGCTGTTTTAGAACGAGTGGTACCCATGAATCATACGCACACATACACATGGGAAAAAAGGGCCCAGGTTGAAAAATACCTAAGTTATCCTTTAATATCTCCAGATTTCAGATCATATTATTTTTCTTCATTAAGAACATATCTGATTGTGTTTAGAAGCTTTAACTGATGATTTTTTTTTAATGGTAAGTGCTGCTATACTCTGTTACAGTCATGGAGAGGTGAGGTCTATCTCCTTCCGGTGGATCACCACCATGGGACCTTATTTCAGAAAAAATATGTACAGCCAGAGACAAATAATTTTTTGTTGTGCCATGAATTACACACACGGTGTTCATCAATTTAAAAGATTTTTCAAATCAGGAAAGTTGCTTAGCGAACTACTTTTCTCGTCTCACATGATATTAGTCACCAACACCAGCTAGCTGGCTAGCTAGCTAACTCATCTGTGTTCCAGCACACACATTATCTAGCCTGATGTGTTTTATTTAGCGGCCCCGTACTGTGTCTCAAAACACATTCTTCCATTAGCACACTTCCATGTAGTACACTATGTGCACTATGTACTAATTGGCACAGTGCGCAAATTTCAACAGGGTAGTGTTGTCTCAAACCAAACACGGCCATTGTGCACTCACCGGAAATGACGACAGCAAATTAACTAGTTAGCAAACTAGCATTAGCATTGGCGTTATCATTCGCGGTACCAAATCATTACAGACTGCTGAATTAACCCAACAAACATACTGCTGGCTTATACCTGACAACAGTATAGTGGTGCTTAGTGAAAAAACACATGTATTTGTACAATGCAGCGACGTTCACGGTCGCACAGTCCTCGACTGCCATTTCCAGCACAATTCAAACAGGATCAAAAATGTATTTGTCTCTATACCGTACATATAGTGCATCATGCAGGTTCACTGAAAGGGGGTGAACTTCACCTCTCCATTCTCGGACTGCGGTGACAGTACAGAGACCACGGACATAGATACATAGACGCTGTGACTGTATCAGCCAATTGCAGCAATACATCAACATTGCGGCCATATTGGAAAGGGCCAGACCAGCCTGTAAACAACTGACAGTAAACAGGAGCTGCAGTTTTTCTGTATAAAAAGCTCTATAACGTTTATATTTCTCTCAATGAGTCATTTTTTTTAATCCATGAGTTTATGATCCACGTGTAGTAGAACAAAAGTTTTTTTTTTTTCAGTTAATTCATCCGAATATTTTTAGTCTATAATTGCTTCTGGATTCTCAGTAGAGGAGTGTATGTTAGACTGACAGGAACTGAATTACTGACATTGTTTAAAATAATTCATTATCATGAGGAATTATAAAAACTTTAATTTGTTTCTGGCTTCCAGCAATCAGCAATAGCTAGGGCACTAAAATGCAGCTCCTTGAATACTTGTATTTGTCTACAGATAAGTCTTGCCCTCTCCAACATGGTGGCAACCTTGACATACAGTCCAGCGGCATAGATTAATCAAGAGATCACTGGCACTGTTTCTGTACTGTGCAGCTCATAGAGCAGGTGCACATGAGACTTCTGCTGACCGAACGGCTAACTTCCTGTTAAACACTCCATTGACTTGAATGGGGATAGAATGATTTAATCTTGCAGCTCCTCTAGATTTTCCCAATGTTATCTGACAGAATGGAACAAATCCTGACAGTGAAACGAGTCATATCTCAGAGGATGTGATGCCCACAAATATTTGTTTACTGATTCATAAAAAAAAAGTCTGCGGAAAAAAGTATTTGGGGCCGCAGGGCATCAGGTGATGGTATTTATGATAATTACAGTTTGGCTACTACAAAAATTAGCTTTAAACCTAACACACTTCTTGGGGGACCATCCAGCAGCCAGTGAGGCATCTATTTTTTTATTTATCTATGGCAGAGATGCCGAGATACAGAAGACCTTGAAACACTGACCAACCAGAGCAGACTGGGCTTTTTCAGGAGGGCAGGACTTAAAGAGACAGGTGCTACAACAGGCAGAGAGTGAATACAGATGCTCCAGCACCGACAGGATGAGGAAAATAAAGTGTTTTTTTTTTTTTAACATTAAAGCATGTAAAAGTTTTCAGAGGCTGTAAGTTGTACTGATATTTGTTGTCATTTACTACAGAGGTGACTGCAGATGGAAAATACTTCCACATTCTGAAAACGTGTCAGTTCATAGAGACGGGCTCACAGTATGATGTGCAGTACTACATTCACTACCAGTACAACGGCCGACTGCAGGCGGAGTACAACAGCTCCACAGAAAAGGTGGTTGGATTCACAGAGTATGGAAGACAGTTCGCAGACACTGTAAATAAAAACCCTGACTACCTGAAGGTCAGGAGACATGATCTGGACTACTACTGCAAGTTTCAAACTGCTCTGGCGTACAAAGACATTCAGGGTAAAGCAGGTATGTGAAGTCATCGTGTCACTTTTAGTGCGAAGAAAAACTTGAAAGCTACTTCTCTGTCTGTGACTGATTACAGTGACATACTGTATATGCTCGCAACCTCCTCCATTTTACGCAGCCTTGATTCAGTCTACCATCCATCTCTATGTTTATGACAAATACATGTCCCTTACTCATCACTGTATTCTTTATGATTTGATGGGTTGGACTTCACTGATCACTCGCAGACAGCTGCACTGGTACATTTGTTTATCTATAAAGCAATATTTGGCAAACCTCTGGCCGACTTCTGCCCCCTGCTGTGTGTCAGCTCTGGTTGTTTCCGGCTATGCTCCTCCAGGTGGTGCTTTTCAATCAACACCAGGTTTTAACAGATCTGGGGAAAACTGCATTCTCCTCCTCTGCACCATGGAAATGGGACAATCTCCAAAAAGATCTAAAATTAGAAACACTTAAAGGGAAATTTCAGTTTATTTCAACCTGTCTCCTATCGTCCTAAATTTGTTTCAAGTGACTAGTGACATAAAAATAATAGTTAGCATATTAGCAATTAGCCTAGATACAGCCGGGGCGCATAGTAGCATCAGACCTGTTAAAACGTAAGTGAACGGGCAACCTTCAAGTGCAAAGTTAGTCCACTAAACAAGCTTTTTTTCCACAAAGACCGCCTCATATCGTTAGGATAAATGTCAGAGAACATATAGAAAACGACATGTAAACGTGTTGTCTTACCTTACCGGCGTGCTGCCATGTTTGTTTACCATTTAGCTCTGCTTTCCAAAGTGTGGCTGAAATATATCTGGCGAGCTCTAGATAAAGCCCAGCTGGATACTACTCCAGGTGGAGGTGTCTCGTCCTCGGTCACATCCAGACCTTGAAAATAAGGCTGCAACTGGTCCCATTCTTTGCAACAGAGGCATTCCTCTTCTGTGGGCACTGGGGCACAGCATTCACAGGTACACCACCAATCGCCAGAGCTACGCAGCCTTGCAGCAGCCATTCCTCCTCTCTCGTCCTCTACCTGTTGCGCCTCTCTCTCTCTCCTCCTCCGTTCTTCAATTTCACGAAGCTCTTCATCAGTGTATTCTGGCTCAAATAAATAAGGGCGGCCATCAAACTCTGCAAAATCAAATTCCTCCTCCACAAAGTCAAAGTCTGGCAAAAAGTCAGCCATTATTCTATAAATCTTTCATAAAATAAATGAATGAACTTTTCAGGCTACTGTCCGGTTCTGCCTTCCAGCTGTTGCTGCTTGTTCTCGCGAGATTTCAGGTACGGTATAAGATCGCTGCTTGTTCTCGTGATATTTCGGCCGCGCTTTGGAAAGCAGAGCTAGATGGTAAACAAACATGGCAGCACACCGGTAAGGTAAAACAACACGTTTACATGTCGTTTTCTATATGTTCTCTGACATTTATCCTAACGATATGAGGCGGTCTTTGTGGAAAAAAAGCTTGTTTAGTGGACTAACTTTGCACTTGAAGGTTGCCCGTTCACTTACGTTTTAACAGGTCTGACGCTACTATGCGCCCCGGCTGTATCTAGGCTAACGGCTAACATGCTAACACCACTGCTGTTTTTATCACAAATACAAAATACAACTATTTAAATCTGTATGCCCCTCCCACCTAAATAAAAAACATAGGTCCCTTCCCAGTGCTTAAAGGAATGATTTGACATGCCTCCCCCTTTTTTTCAGCTCCATACTGGATGCTGCAAAACAGCTGCTTTCCTTGTGTCCTAACAGTGTTTCCGTCCTGCAGTGCCTCCTGTCACCAGGCTGAAGTCAGTGAGGTCTGACAGCAGTGAAGACTCAGTGGTTTTGGTCTGCAGTGCCTACAACTTCTACCCTCGGCACATCAGACTGTCCTGGCTGAGAGATGGTGTTGTCATACCTGACCCTCCAGGTGTGGTCATTACGAAGATGCCCAGTGGAGCCTGGCGCTACCAGATCCACTCACACCTTGAACTCACCCTGAGCACAGGGCGAAACGTCAGCTGCATGGTGGAGCATATGGGGCTACAGGAGCCGCAGCTGCTGCACTTCGGTAGGCCAACAAGTCCTCAAAATGAAACGACAGAATTTGTATTTTGTCCCCTAGAGAAGAGGTCATCTGTTTCTCAGAATAATCCAGGGACCCCTTGTGTATGTCCCTTGAAATTATTTGATATAACCTATTTCTATATATCTGTGTGGGTGTATATATATATATATATATATATATATACAGTACAGGCCAAAAGTTTGGACACACCTTCTCATTCAATGCGTTTTCTTTATTTTCATGACTATTTACATTGTAGATTCTCACTGAAGGCATCAAAACTATGAATGAACACATGTGGAGTTATGTACTTAACAAAAAAAGGTGAAATAACTGAAAACATGTTTTATATTCTAGTTTCTTCAAAATAGCCACCCTTTGCTCTGATTACTGCTTTGCACACTCTTGGCATTCTCTCCATGAGCTTCAAGAGGTAGTCACCTGAAATGGTTTTCCAACAGTCTTGAAGGAGTTCCCAGAGGTGTTTAGCACTTGTTGGCCCCTTTGCCTTCACTCTGCAGTCCAGCTCACCCCAAACCATCTGGATTGGGTTCAGGTCCGGTGACTGTGGAGGCCAGGTCATCTGCCGCAGCACTCCATCACTCTCCTGCTTGGTCAAATAGCCCTTACACAGCCTGGAGGTGTGTTTGGGGTCATTGTCCTGTTGAAAAATAAATGATCGTCCAACTAAACGCAAACCGGATGGGATGGCATGTCGCTGCAGGATGCTGTGGTAGCCATGCTGGTTCAGTGTGCCTTCAATTTTGAATAAATCCCCAACAGTGTCACCAGCAAAACACCCCCACACCATCACACCTCCTCCTCCATGCTTCACAGTGGGAACCAGGCATGTGGAATCCATCCGTTCACCTTTTCTGCGTCTCACAAAGACACGGCGGTTGGAACCAAAGATCTCAAATTTGGACTCATCAGACCAAAGCACAGATTTCCACTGGTCTAATGTCCATTCCTTGTGTTTCTTGGCCCAAACAAATCTCTTCTGCTTGTTGCCTCTCCTTAGCAGTGGTTTCCTAGCAGCTATTTGACCATGAAGGCCTGATTGGCGCAGTCTCCTCTTAACAGTTGTTCTAGAGATGGGTCTGCTGCTAGAACTCTGTGTGGCATTCATCTGGTCTCTGATCTGAGCTGCTGTTAACTTGCCATTTCTGAGGCTGGTGACTCGGATGAACTTATCCTCAGAAGCAGAGGTGACTCTTGGTCTTCCTTTCCTGGGTCGGTCCTCATGTGTGCCAGTTTGGTTGTAGCGCTTGATGGTTTTTGCGACTCCACTTGGGGACACATTTAAAGTTTTTGCAATTTTCCGGACTGACTGACCTTCATTTCTTAAAGTAATGATGGCCACTCGTTTTTCTTTAGTTAGCTGATTGGTTCTTGCCATAATATGAATTTTAACAGTTGTCCAATAGGGCTGTCGGCTGTGTATTAACCTGACTTCTGCACAACACAACTGATGGTCCCAACCCCATTGATAAAGCAAGAAATTCCACTAATTAACCCTGATAAGGCACACCTGTGAAGTGGAAACCATTTCAGGTGACTACCTCTTGAAGCTCATGGAGAGAATGCCAAGAGTGTGCAAAGCAGTAATCAGAGCAAAGGGTGGCTATTTTGAAGAAACTAGAATATAAAACATGTTTTCAGTTATTTCACCTTTTTTTGTTAAGTACATAACTCCACATGTGTTCATTCATAGTTTTGATGCCTTCAGTGAGAATCTACAATGTAAATAGTCATGAAAATAAAGAAAACGCATTGAATGAGAAGGCGTGTCCAAACTTTTGGCCTGTACTGTATATATATATATATATATATATATGTGTGTGTGTATGTATTTTTTTTTCTTTCTTTCTTTCTTTCTTTCTTTGAGATCCACTGCTCTAGAACAGTATAAAGAAATGTTTTATCATTGGATCACAACGTACCAGCAACAGCAACTTCAGTTACTGTGGGATGACACACATTATCTGGTCAGGTTACACTGCTGTCAAATTTTAAGAGCAATGAAATGATTGTATGATTTATTAAAGCTAAGCAGAGCAAGAGCATATTATCTATATATTCTTGCCAGTTGTTTTTTAAATCACTGTGAATGATTGTCTCTGTCTCTCTGCAGATCAGTCAGAGCTACAGTCGACGCCCCTTAGCCTTCCACTGGGAGGATCTGTTCTGGGAGTGGGACTGAGTTTCCTGCTCTGCGCGATGGGATTTTACTGGAGAAAGACACACTGAGCAGGAACTACCTGTTGCAGATTGTCATTTAAAACCAAAGTAACCAAACCGGTTTATATGATCAGTCACCTGAAGGAAATCACTGCGGCACATGTTCAGCGCTGGTTTCCAGTCTGACCGGCCCAGATGGATGTGTGGCTCCCATGACTGACGTGCAGCTTCATCATCAAAGACATCACCATATACAGATCAGATTTGTTCCGTGTCTACATGTATGTTTAGTGGCAGACAGGATGATGGTTACTGAGGCTGGACAATAAAGTCACATGTCAAAGTTAGGAAAAGACATCCTGCCTGTCGACTGTTGCAGAGTGGAGAAATAATCTTTTTTGTTGCTTGTCACAGCATTTACATTTAGAAATGTGTGCCTGTAGTTTCTCCTAAAAAACTGAATGATGATGATAATCCTGAACATGATTCTATTATATCATTAAAATATTACTGAAAATATTAAACTGCTGAAATATGTCTCATTTAATATTTTGGGGGGAAAATTACCAGATGCTCATAAGGAGTGAAAACCCAAGGCTTTTGTCAACTCCAGAATTTTGTTTAAAATATATAATAACTAAAATCAAATAAAAAAATAAAAATAAAGAAAGTCCCCGAATGTCATCAGATGGTGAACTGAAGCTGTTGGATAAATAAATATTTTATTTTGAAAGTAAAGAGTGATTTGTGTATTTATTTTTTTTATGTCGGCTTTTATTTTGAATGATGTTAAACGGAAGCTGTTTAATTACCGGAAACTTAACGCGAGTGTTTCCGGTTTTTGGAGCTAGTCAGGCTGGTGCTTCAAAAAGAGCTCACGTGTAATATAAATACTGCAGTAGCTCTCTCTGATTTTTTTATATTCGTATTTTGGAAGTATTATTTGTAGTTTTTTGAGATTGAAAAACTCCGGAAACGTTTTTTGTGTGACGACAGAGAGGTCAAAGGTCAGATGAACCCGGAACATCAACAAAGCAAACAAAGGCGGCGTTCCGTTTAACCGTGAGACCCTCCGTCATGTCCTCCGGTGTACTGCTGGCGGCTCTCTGCCTGCTCCTGACCCGCCTGTCCGGCTCCTCTCTGTCGGTGCCGGACATCCCGCACATCGCCGCTTACTTCGGTACAAAGACCCGGTACGAGGAGGTGAACCCGCACCTGCTGCGGGACGTTTTCTCCGTCAATAAGTCCGTGTTGAAACCTCCGCCCACTGAGCGCTGCTCCCCGGTCCACCTCACCGCCGTCATCCGGCACGGCAGCAGGTACCCGACCGTCAAGAACATCCGCAGGATCCAGAAACTGAGCGAGCTGGTCCGGCGGGAGGCGACACGAGGCTCCGGAGGCTCCGCCGGGGGCTCCACTGGCACCGCGGGCTGGCTGCAGGACATCCACAGCCGCTGGGAGATGTGGTACACCGAGGACATGGACGGTGAGCACCGGAGGGACCGGAGGGATTGAATATACCTGTTATTCTGCTTAAACATTATTTATATGTCGATGAAATGATTCTTAGTGAAAATAATTCTGCTATGTGACTAAAATATTATTAAAAATATACTAGTTAAAACTGCATAAATATACCTGTAAATCTGCTTCAGTGTTACTGAAAGACAAAATAATAAATTATTACAATATTACTAATAATTCACAAGCTAAACTGCTGATATGTAATTTATAATTCAATTAAATGATTATTAGTAAAAATAATTCTGTTATGTTTCTAAAATATTATTAAAAATTTATCAGTTAAACTGCTGAAATAACTGATTACTGAAAATAATTCTATTAAAACATTACGGAAAATATTAGGGATACACGATAATATCAGCACATCATCGGTATGGTGATGGCGTCTTAAAAATGAACCATCAATATCGGCCAACGTGTTTTTATTCATCACAATGAATAAATATTACAAACACTGAACAGTATTTCATGTCTCCAGCTGCTGGTAGGCATATACAAAAGTATGTATACAAAAGTATACAAAAGTATGTATAATATGATGTTAATTCCACTACAGAACTGCTCAAAATTACTCTATGAATTATTATTAATAATCAAAACATTACTGACAATAATTCAGTTTTGTTGCTAAAATATTAATAAAAATATACTTGTTACTCTGCTTAAATATATCGATTAACCTGCTTTGAAAGACGATTATTGAAAATAATTTCATTAAAACATTATGGAAAATATACTTTAAATCTGCCTTAATGTTACTGAAACAAAAAAACATTAAATTATTGAAATATTACTGATAACACGCCCGCTAAACTGCTCAAATATGACAAAATATAATTTATTTAGATGATTAGAATATGACTGAAAATATACTTGTTAAACTACTGTACTAGTACCAAGGGAAACATTCTAATAAATTATTGAAATATAACTGATAATACACTGTTTTTTCTGCTTTACAATACGGAAAATCATTTCATAAAATGATTAAAATATTACTGGAAATAATTCTGTTAAATGATTAAAATGTTACAGGAAATAATTCTGTTAAATGATTAAAATATTACTGAAAATAATTCTGTGAAATGACAAAAATATTACTGAAAATAATTCTGTTGAATGATTAAAATATTACTGAAAATAATTCTGTTAAATGATTAAAATATTACTAAAAATAATTCTGTTGAATGATTAAAATATTACTGAAAATAATCATGTTAAATGATTAAAATATTACTGAAAATAATTCTGTTAAATGATTAAAATATTACTAAAAATAATTCTGTTGAATGATTAAAATATTACTGAAAATAATTCTGTTAAATTATTAAAATATTACTAAAAATAATTCTGTTAAATGATTAAAATATTACTGAAAATAATTCTGTGAAATGACAAAAATATTACTGAAATAATTCTGTTAAATGATTAAAATATAACTGAAAATAATTCTGTTAAATGATTAAAATATTACTAAAAAATAATTCTGTTGAATGATTAAAATATTACTGAAAATAATCACGTTAAATGATTAAAATATTAATGAAAATAATTCTGTTAAATGGTTAAAATATTACTGAAAATAATTCTGTGAAATGACAAAAATATTACTAAAAATAATTCTGTTAAATGATTAAAATATTACTGAAAATAATTCTGTGAAATGACAAAAATATTACTGAAAATAATTCTGTTAAATGATTAAAATATTACTGAAAATAATTCTGTGAAATGACAAAAATATTACTGAAAATAATTCTGTTAAATGATTAAAATATTACTGAAAATAATTCTGTTAACTGATTAAAATATTACTAAAAATAATTCTGTTGAATGATTAAAATATTACTGAAAATAATTCTGTTAAATCATCAAACTATAACTCATAATATTCAGGTTAAGCTGCTGAATATCATTGTCACATGATTAAAATCGTACTGAATATAACGATAGTATCCTCTGCTTCCTCCTCCTCATCCTCATACTCAGGTCAGCTGGTGACAAAGGGCAGGGAGGAGCTCCGTCAGCTGGCAAGGCGTCTGTCTGTCCTGTTTCCGTCTCTCCTGTCGGAGGACAACATGAGGAGGATCAGTCTGAGGAGCAGCTCCAAGCATCGCTGTGTGAGCAGTGTGGAGGCGTTTCAGGAGGGTCTGCAGCAGCACTGGAGACACACAGGTGAGTGCCCTCACAATGTAGAAATGTACTCAGTGCAGAAATGTCCACAGATTGTAGAGATGTCCTCACAGTGCGGAAATGTCCTCACAATGCAGAAATGTCCCAACAATGCAAAAATGTCCAGAGGCTGTAGAGATGTCCTCACAGTGCAGAGATGTTCTCACAATGCAGAAACGTCCCAACAATGCAAAAATGTCCCAACAATGCAGAAATGTGCACAGAATGTAGAAATGTCCTCATAGTGCAGAGATGTCCTCACAATGTAGAAATGTGCACAGAATGTAGAAATGTCCTCATAGTGCAGAGATGTCCTCACAATGTAGAAATGTCCTAACAGGGGCGTCGGTGGCTTAGTGGTAGAGCAGGCGCCCCATATACAAGGCTGTTGCCGCAGCGGCCCGGGTTCGACTCCAGCCCGTGGCCCTTTGCTGCATGTCACTCCCTCTCTCTCCCCCTTTCACGCTTAACTGTCCTATCGATTAAAGGCAAAATGGCCCAAAAAAATATCTTTAAAAAAAGACAAAAGAAATGTCCCAACAATGCAAAAATGTCCACAGACTGTAGAGATGTTCTCACAGTGCACAGATGTCCTCACAATGTAGAAATGTCCTCACAGTGCACTTAAGTCCCAGTAATGCAGAAACGTCCTCACAATGTTCAAATGTCCTTATAATGCAGAAATGTCTACACAATGTAGAGATGTTCTCACAGTGCCAAAATATCCTGACACTGTACAAATGTCAGTATAATGCTGTAATGTCCTTATGATGCAGAAATGTCCCAACAGTGCAGATATGTCCTCATGATGCAGAAATGTCCCCACAATGCGGAAGTATCCCAATGATACAAAAATGTCCACAGAATGTAGAAATGTCCTTATAACGTAGAAATGTCCCCACAATGTGGAAGTGTCCTTATATTGCAGAAATGTCCCCACAATGTGGAAATGTCCTTATATTGTAGAAATGTCCCCACAATGTAGAAATTTCTTGATAATGCAAAAATGTCAACAGAATATACAGATGTCCATACATTGCAGAAATGTCCCCACAATATATAGATGTCCTCACAATGCAGAAATGTCCTAATAATGTTCTCATAATGCAGAATTATCCTCAGAGTATGTCTCTGTCCTCAGAGGTGCAGTACGGACACCAGGTAGACGACGAGCTGATGCGCTTCTTTGAGCGTTGTCGTGGTTATGTGGAGGGCGTGGAGAAGAACCGCACAGCGCTGCTGGAAGTGGAGAAGTTCAAACACGGGGAGGAGATGGACGGAGTGAGGAGGAAGATAGCCGAGAGGCTGGGCCTTCCTCACCACCGCCTCACACCTGGTTAGACACGCACACGCACACTTGTTTGTCTATCTGCACTTGTGAGGAGCAGAGCAGAGAAAGTGCTCCCATAGTGTAGAAATGTCCTCACAATGCAGAAATGTCTTGAGAATGTAGAGACGTCCACACAATGTAGACATGTCCTCACAATGCAGATATATCCTCAGAATGCAGAAATGTCCTCACAATGCAGAAGTGTTCTCATATTGCAAGAATGACCCCAAAATCTAGAAAATGTCTCAACTATTCTGGTTTAAAACTTTTACCCACATTACAGATGTTATACTGACACTGCAGAAATTTCTTCATAATGTAGAAGTATCCTCAGAATCTAGAAATGTCCTCACAATATAGAAATGTTCCCATGATGCAAAAATGTCCCCATAATGTAGAAATATCCTCACAATGTAGAGACGTCCTGACAATGTGGAAAGGTCCCCACAATGTCAAGATGTTCTTACAACTCAGAATTGGTCCCACATTGCAGAAATG